AAAGCTGACGTTGGGGTTGGTCCTGCAGGAGGCGCTGTGTTGCTGGTGGAGGCGTTGCTCCATGAGGACGGCTCCGGCCCGGTGACGGTGCAGCTCTACTCCCTGAACATGCTGGTGCAGACGGAGGGGAGAGAGAGGACAGCTGCTCAGTACGCTGCCCTGCTGACTGCCGCCGGATTCACTGGCACCCAGCACCGCCTCACCGGGAAGATCTACGACGCTGTGCTGGGACACAAAGAGACATGAGACCTACAGAGGAGGCTTATACCTGCATATGTGCCAGCACTGAAAACTCACACTACCTTGGAGACAAATATGCTACTGCTGTTCTATTTCTAGATCAATTTCTTTAAAAAAAATAGTTAAAATACAAATAAAGGTTTATTACACTGTATGACAACAACACGTTCTGTATCTGCTTTTGCACATCCATTTCTTGTAAATTAGCATATTTGGTAACTGTGAAAACACCAATAAAATGACCTTAGCCTCAAAACATCAGCTAGGAACATAAGGCCCCGTCCACACGGAGACGAAACGGGTGTTATCGTATGAACGGTTCGTCCGCATGAGGCCGTAACGGAACCGCGGAAACGGAGCCCTCAAACGATAATGCATCCCAAAGTGGGAAGGTCTGGTAACGTAACGCTTGCGGCACCGTGTGTACGCCCTAAACGATCATAGCCCCGCCTCTCCTCACCTCTCCTGCTCACCCGCGCGTCACCCGCGCCATTGCTGCTGCGTTTCACAAACAACAACAACAATGGCGGATCACAGGGTTGCGTTCGTGCTCCAGACGCTTCTGTCCATGCTACAGATGTTAGGGAAAAATCTACAGCTCCTCTACCACAACCATCAGCAACAAGTGGACATAGAGAACTACATGAACTACATGTTGCTAAAATGTAGTTCTCCGCGGTGGATTTAGCTGGAGAATAANAACAATCTACAGCTTCTCTACCACAACCATCAGCAACAAGTGGACATAGAGAACTACATGAACTACATGTTGCTAAAATGTAGTTCTCCGCGGTGGATTTAGCTGGAGAATAACCAGAAGGGCAACCAGGCAACCATGCTGCTTTTGGTGTATTTTGTGACGGAAGTACAGCGCCACTTACAGGCCCGGCATATGTACTACAGCGTCTCCAGCGGGTCGAACGGTCTCGTGTGGACGGACACATTTCTTGTGCCGATTCCGCATGAACAGAAGACTTTTTTGATATCGACCTCGATTCGTTTTCGTCTCCGTGTGGACGGGGCTTAAGTCTGACTATAAGTAGTGGTAAAGTTGGCTGATGACTGACCATTTACTGCAATTGACACTTGGCCTGCTAAGCCCGACCCCCGCTTCTATAGTCAAGCCGTCTAACTACAAGTGTCATTAACAACACTCCCTAAAGATCTATTTAATTCCTGGATAAACAGAAAAGCAATCTCAGGGGGGAGGCAGACAGAAAGAGTGTACACATTTTGTATAGGATAAAAACAGGATGTCAAACTGAGGGTGACATGTTCAAGCTAAAACTTAGTTTTCAGTTGCTCTTAAAATACCCTGTGTGAAGAAATACCAGAAACGTGACATAATTTTGGGCCCAAGCCTAGTAAAGTAAGAATCTAATCCCAGAGCATTGTGATTCTGCTGTGAATGATTAGCTGCTCACTGCAAAGGTTGACCTCTATTAGATGATGTGCAGTGACTGCTTCCAGTCTCATTGCTGAGAAGATGAACTTCTTTACATATCTGTTCTCATAACTCAATCCTTAGCCCTATGTCTGAACCCTTTGCCTCGCTCTGTTCTTAACAGCCTAGTAAAGCTGTCTTTTTGCCATGTTCTTCGTAATGATGGACGCGACTCAGTAAATCTTCTTTACAATGAGCAATCCTATCTTTTACCCCCACCCCCCGTAACCTCCTCCGCAGACATATCATCCTTTCATTAAAGCTCAGCCTGTCAGTGTGCTCCACCTCTGAGGTTTGAACCGATAAACAGGCTTTCACACAAGTATTTGTGGATATAATTCAGTTGCACTAATATTAACTTTCATTTATTAGGCATCAAATGACCATGCCAAAAGACAATTGCACAACATATCAGTTGTCTGACTCCTCAGCTAAAATCATAATCAGACAACATTACTGTCTGCAGACTGCACCGCCACTGGTCACTTCCCTGTCTCCTTTCTATACACCCACACATTCTCACTGTCCTATCTTCGCCTCTCTTTCTTTTCCTCACAGTAATTGTGAATTAATCAGACTTCAAAGTGCAACAAATTTGAATTTATGTCAAATCTGTGTGGACAGATTTACAGAGAGTCGGTCTAATGAAGGGAATGAAGTGCCCAGGATGAAGACAGTTTGACTTGTGTGGAGACAATGATAGTGCCCAGAGACACGGGCAGTGTTCCCAATGTCAGGGTGGGCACAACCTGGTGTTGAGGCTTTTGAGAATGATATCCTTTCTTGAGGATAATTGCTATTTCAGTTAAAATAGCAAACGTAGAGGTAATATTAAGTCCTTTGAGATATGAGGTGGAATTTTAATTAATTCAAATCTGCTATCATCCGCATAACCTGAGTTAACCTTCCAGAGATAACTAATCCTCCCATCACACTAAAACCAGATTAAATAAGGATGAATAATTTTCTGTGTTTTTTAAGTTTCTAAAGTTTGGGCTTATTTTATGATAGAAAAGTACAAAAAGTGAATTCTCTCAAGATAAAAATATCCGCAACAACTGGAAATCAATGTTTTGACACTTCAAATCAAATCAGAACTTATAATTAAAAAGAAAATATGAAAAGTTGTGTTAAGTATTACAGCAGGAAATATTTTAACTCTTTGTTGAGTGGTATAGCTTTAAAGTCAGGACGTCAGAACAAACGTCACTGATTTCCCCCCCTCTGCTGAGGAAAGAATCAGCTGTAATTCTCCGAGAGTATCTCTTCAAGTGCTTTCCCCCTCGCTATTCGTCAATGATTTAGACTTGGGTCAATGTTTTCCACTTCAGCAGAGAAAGGTGTAGACATTTATCCTCTCTACTTCTCAGTTCCATTCCCATTTCCACACTTTAAAAATAGGGAACTGTGACTGAGAAGAGGAGAGATGGGTAATCTGAGCACTTCTACAATCCCCAAACTGGACACACAGCTCATGTCCGGCCTGAGAAAACACAGAATCCTAAAATAAAACGAAGGGATGGAAATAGGGAGTGGGTATGATGCATGTAATTTAACCAAAGTGTCCCTGGTTTTGTTCCAGATAGCAACCATGCTTCCAGTAAAGAGGGAGTCAATATTGATAATAAAGCAAATTCAGCTTTGCATATGTATGTGTATGGTCTTAATCCTCACATCTATTCTCTCGTATGGAAGCATGTTCCTCTTTGGAAAATAGATTAAAAGTTGGTAATAATTATGACTTACGGTCATGTGTGTGTGATGTGAGTGTTGATGAAATAGCATATTGGAAATGGTGTGTGTGTGTGTGTGCGTGTGCGTGTGTGTGTGTGTGTGTGTGTGTGTGTGTGCGGTGCTTATTAAGGCTTCTGGCTCTTTTGTTGAAGTTGTTCTTTTTTCGTTCCAAAGTTATCACAGGAAACATCTTCCAACTTTGGATTTTTTTGGTGTGCCATTAAAATTAATATATATTTTTTTCTTAACAATGATTTTCTAAACCATATTGCTTTTTAGTTAGTTTAACCAATTGCATATTATGTTTTACATTGATTATAATATAAAAATGTAATAATAATAATAATTAATATCCCTTGTTTTGTGCGTATGAATGTTGTAGTGTGTATGATATGTTAATTTAATGGACAATAAAGTATTCTGATTCTGAATCTAACCTGACAACTCTTAGTATTTATAGTATTTAGCTTTGATTTGTTAAAAGTAAGACAGCTCTTTGTTTGGATAGGGTTAGGGTTATTTTGGAAAGAGTGTCATGTTTAAAAATATTTTTTTTTGCTGCATTACCCATATAATGAACATATTAATATCTAATACCTTTTGTCGTGCAAATCTTTAAAACACATCCATAATTTGTTTCTGCATCAGGTTGTCAATATTTCAGAGTTTCATCTCTGAATTTCATCCACCTGTGTTGCTATAGTAACCTGATGTGGCAAAGTTTTGCTGTGGAAAAAACTCAGTTGACCTTTTGTGCCATGAACTATGTATTTAGTATTTCAGTCACATGGTCTTCAAATGGGGAACAGAACACAGATATGAACTGCATAGATGTGTTCATAACAGCAGGAAGTGTCAGAGAGACGGAGGAGAAAAGTGGGATGAGCAGAGAGAGAGGTGATCTGTCATTTTATCACAGCCATGGTAAGAACACACACACACACACACACACACACACACACACACACACACACACACACACACACACACACACACACACACACACACACACACTACT